CATGTATTCCCGTGCAGAACCTGAAGACTGACCCTGTATTTGACGCATTGGATAAGATATTCCGCCGCTACAACAAGGCAGGCTTTCAAGTCAAGATCATCAAGTGTGATCGGGCATTCATTCCTCTCACGGATGATATGCTAGACGATATGGGTGTCACTATTGACCCGACTGCAGCTGGAGACCACGAGCCTACAGCTGAGCAAAATAATCGAACGCTGAAAGAGAGAGTTAGAGTAGCTCTTGCACGATTACCCTACAAAGTGGTACCAAAGGTGATCAATGAATGTCTTGGGCGTTGAGCCGCCGAGCTATTGAATGTCTTTCCCCAGAAAGACAGTATTTCCTCACATTTCAGCCCACAGCAACTCATTGATAATGTCAATATCAACTACAAGAGTGACATGGTTGCTGAGCTTGGACAGTATGTTCATGCAATTGGGACGGATTCCAACAATTCGATGGAACAGCAAAGTATTGAAGCGATCTACATTGAACCTACATACGGACAACGTACAGGGCACCGCGTGCTCAACTTGAATACTAAGAAGATGATTTCTCGACCCAAGGTTGTCGTACTACCCGTTACTGATCAAGTGATCCAGCGTGTTGAAGCTTGGGCTGCTGCCGAAGGTGTTACTTCCAGGAAGTTCTTTGTTGAGAAGAGACACTTGGAGACATTTCAAGATGGCAATCAAATCGCAGGAGTGGATGACACGGAACAAGGTTACTTAGAGGAAACCTTTGATCAGGACTATGAACCTGAAGAAGAAGATGAACGTGATTTCAACCTACGTGGACAATTTGATGATATCAATGACTCCGAAAGAAATGAGCTCTTGGCAGATGCAGACAATGATGTCGATGATATGCCGGAACTCACTGTCATATTCCAAGGGGATGATGACTATGAATCAGATGATTTGGGTGATGAAGGCGATGAAGAGGAAGAACCTATTGTGGCCGATTTGGATCACCATCAAGAAAATGTCGATAGAGGAACCGATGATATTGGGAGCCACGTTACTGATCTGGAGGATCTACAAGAACCGCCAGAAGAAGAGATTGTATTTGAGCCTGAAGCGCCTCAAGTAGCAAAGGTCACTCGATCTGGGCAAACGTATGCGCAAGCTACAATGTCAGGGCTGAACCTTTCTCAGGTTCCAAAGAAACCAAGAGAATGGCCTTCGAGCAGGAGTGGCAGTTCTGCCAATAAGAACAAAAATC